TCTCCTCCTCCCTCCCTCCCCCTCTCTCTCATTTACTTTCTAGCCATTGTTTTGCTTAGCTATGGTCTGCCCATGTGTTCTTTGAGCTATGGCCAGGCCATGTTTTCCTAAGCTTTGACCCCCTCCTCTTGGGAAGGTGGATCTCCTCTCTCTTCTCTCTCCCTAGTTTGCTTTCTAAGTAAACTGTATTTTCTAATTTAATTCCTGTGCAATTCTTTGCATCCTTCATATGGCACCAGATTGTACAACCCCACTCTGGCGGGTCTGACCTAACCTTCTGGAGGCCCCGTGGGGATATTATTTGTTTGTTTATTTATTTTTATTTTTTAAATTTTATTTTAAAGATGTGGGTTACAATTCAGGATTAGGTATACAAGTGGTCATTGTATACGTAAAGTATGGGCCTCCCTTTGGTCCCCATTTTGCCTGGTTTGAGATCAGATACCCTTGTTGATGTGGTGTCCTTGCCCCCCACTCCAGCAGTATCCCATTACTGCTAGTCCTTTTTTTATGGATTATGGTAAATATTCAGGGTCCGCTTATGAGTGAGAATGTGTGGTATTCTGTTCTTTGTTTCTGTGATAGACCATTGAGTATGATAGATTCTGAACCTATCCAAGTTGCTGCATACAAAGTTCATATGTTTGTCCTTTTTTATGGCCGCATAATATTCCGTTGTGTATATATACTACACTTTTTAAAAAAAAATCCAATCCAGTTTCAGTGGGCAGTATGATTGGCTCCATGTTTTTGCTATTGTGAATAGTGCTGCAATAAACATGTGTGTGCAGGTATCTTTTTTGTAGAATGATTTGAGTTCCTCTAGAGTGATATATTTTTAACTTTACATTTTTGGAGGTTCCACCAAGATCTTTGACCTAACAGGATCTTACTATGTTGCCCAAGTTGCTCTCAAACTCCTGGGCTCAAGCAAAAAAAAAAAGCCTTGTACTTTATGTGAAATGTTCTAAGATCAAGTAATTTTAAACACATTTTCACCTCACAAATGTTCAACAAGATATTTGAACGTTAATAGATTTATTTTTTCATAGGAAGAAATCAATATGCAAAATTGATACATCGCCTTTATGAGGGACATGTGGTACAATCTGTATTGCATAGATCTGCCTATTATGGAACATGTAACATCCCCAGCCTTCTTCCCATAAAGCTGGTAATGTCCTCTCTTGTTCTTCCCTCCAGTTGTGTTCCAACTGCAAACATTCAAAGCTGTATGTGGCAATGTAAAGCACAGGCTCTTAAGCCAGACTACCTGTATCCAAATCAGAGCTCTGCTTCTTTATGTAATTAGTGACTTTGGGCTAGTCAATTTACCTCTCAGAGCCTCTGTTTTTTTAATCTGTAAAAGAAAGTTAATAATGCTACCTACCTCACAGGGTGTTGTTAGTATTAAATAAGTTAACGTGTGAAATATTTATAACAGTACATAATACATATATTAAGAACTATTTCCTGTTATTTTTATTACCTGTACATTATTATTATAGCTTTATAAAGGAAATAAAGTATGACCTGAGAAAATTGTGCTATGTTTTGCTATTAAGGCATATTATACATATGCTCAAACATGAAAGTAACTCTGGGTCCTAATTTAAAGAAAAAAAGGGAGCAAGAACACTGCTCGTTAAAACCAAGTAAAGAGTGATTCAAAATGATAGAATCAGTAGCTACAAAAATTATGGTAATAAAATTGGGTACAAATAATAAAATAAAAGTAATACTTAAAAAAAAAGGTAGAGAGAGAAAAAGATGAGGGGCTGCATGTTTATGATTTCATTTTTTTCAGTGTAAGAAATCACTTGGTAATATGCAGAATTGAAACAGCCTTTGTTTTTAATGAAACTAAAGCCTCTTAGTCGTTTGTATATACTCAAAGAATATGAAGTTATGGAGGGTTTTTAAAAAGATTTTTGGTTTCTTTTTCTTCAATTAAAGTAAGATTATAATCCCATTCTAAAGGATAATTTTTCTTCTTCTCTATCTGTGAGTGCTTATAGAAATGTTATAGTCACTGTGATTAACAGTTACTATAGGTGGTATGATTTTTGGATGACTTGTTGATTTTTTGTACTTTATTATATATGCTTTAGTAAGATAAAAATA